GTGTGACAACCAGTGATGGGCACTGGATGTGGGGACACAGACAGGACCAGGCATAGGGTCCACCTGTGAGGACCAAGTGCAGGGAGTGGTTATGGGGTCTGGGAGTGAGTACCTAGTGTAGGGACAAGGCACCCGGACCAGGCACCCTGAACAGCCTTAGGGATCTGGTGTGGAGACCAGGCATGGGGAATAGCCACAGAGACCAAGGGTCAGACTGGGCAGGGGGACCAGGTGTGGGGACCAGCTGCCTGGAGCAGCCATGGGGCTGCCATCCATGGGATCAGGTATGGGGACAAGACACGCACATAGGCCTGAGCAGGAGGACTGGGCATGGTGACATCTTGTGGGGACCAGCTGCGGGGTCCAGCCATGGGCACCATCCCTGGGGGCTCACCATGGCCTTGGGCTGTGGGGCAGAGGCAGCCAGGCTGAAGGGCAGACATGCCCTCCCTCTCGTCCTCCCTCTTGCTGCCACCCCAGGGACCCCTGCCTGGGGGACAAGAGGAACACCACAATGGGGGTTCTGGGGTGCTCCTGGTGGGGGTGCCCAGTGCTGCCCAGACCCCCTTGTCCTGCCGGGCAGGTTTTGCTCTTTTCTTTTTTTCTGCTCACTTCTAGTTTCTCCCAAAAGCCTTTTCCTGCCACCTGCAAACGCTGCCACCCCCGGCTGCCATCTCGGCTTCCTCCCACTCCCCCTCTCCTTGCAGTGGTTCCCCTTTCAGACAGAAAACATCACCACAGGGTTTTTTGGACCCCTCCACCCCGTGCTGGGTGGCTGCTGGTCCCATGTGGGTCTGTGACCTCTCCACTGGAACTGCTGCTGGTGGGATACCACAGCCACCTCCGCAGCCTTGTTTGGGCCTCCAGGCCGTCTTGGGGTCCCTCTCGGCAGGACTGTTCGCCTGCCCGTCTGACACTGCCCTGGGGCCCGCCAGAGCAAGATGCTGTCTTGGGGATGGAGTGCCACCACGCTGGTGACAGGCTGTCTCCACACCAGGAGTGGTGTGACACGGCCCCCACACCACACTGCCCGAGGTATCCCCCGGCACAGGGCTGACACACGGGGCCGGGAATGCCAATGGGCTTCTGGACCCGCTGCTCCCACTCGCCGGGGCCCATGCGCCTGCCCATGCGGCCATCGTGGCGGGTGCAGGAGCCGGGTCTCTGCTCCTCACTCAGTGGCTCCCCATGGGGTGCCCACGCAGCCCCGGTGGGCACAGCCCTGCCTGGGGTCAGGGCCCACGGCTGGTCTGAGGAGCCAGGGGCTTTCTGGCCACGGCCCGGCCCGCTGGGCAGAGTGCTCCGCTGCCCGCCCTAAGGTGTTGG